CTAGCAAAAAATACACATTTTTTTCATGTGAACAAAAAGGATTGGTCTTCAGGTGGTTAGAAGAGTGAATGATGTGTGGCATAAATTTCTAATGCTGGGCATAAAACGCCCCCACCCCCCAAAAATGACCCCTTTTTGGAAAGTAGTCACCCCAAACTATTTGCTGAGAAGAATGTTGAATCAATAGAAGAATTTGCGTACAAAAGCGTACAGGTGATCAAATACCACCAAAAGAAAGCTCTATTTGTGTGAAAAAAAGGACGTAAATTTCGTTTGGGTACAGCATTGCATGACCGTGCAATTATCATTTGAATTAGTGCAGCGCTGTATAGAAAAAAAAAAGGCATAAATTACAGTATCTATACCATAGTTGAGATTACAGTATCTATACCATTGAGATCCAAGAATGTCAGAACAGTATAGATATCCCCCAAATGACCACTTTTTGCAGAGTAGACAGTCCGACGTACTTCATAACAGGCATGGCGAGTTTTTTGAAGTTGTATTTTTTTTGTCATAATTTTTTGGAAAATGAAAAAATGAAAAAATTATTTTCACTATTTTTTTTTTTTTACATTCTGTCACCAGTGCAGTACAGTGTCATCATATAACTGGCATGGCGGTGACCAGGGACACTGACTGGTGACAGTATGAAAAAAATATATAATTTTTTTTTAATTTAAAAAAAAAAAAAATGTATTATTTTTTATTACATTTTTTTCTTTTTTTTAAGTTTTGTTTTCATATTTCACTATGACCAAAGTAGTACAATGTTACCATAGTAACATTGTACTACTTTGGGGAAGTGATCAGTATTTTTTTTTTTATACAATTTGCTTATAGCAAAGAATTACTTTGCTATAAGCAAGCATTTACCTGAATGACATCGATTCATTCAGGATTTTTTTTTTTTTTTGTGCTTAGCTGTGGTTTGGCCATGGCTAATCACATGACACAGCTGGGCTGTGATTGGCCCAGCTTGTGCATGTGATCACTGTGACCATTCACAGCTAGGCACACTAGTATACAATGGATGGCATAAATGAAGCCATCCATTGTATACAACTGTCATGTGACCTGCTGTGATTGGTCACAGCAGGTCACATGGTATCCGCAACAGGGCAATGGTGGCCGGTACTCAGATCTGTCATCGGCCGTGTCCGTGGTACACGGCCGGTGACAGATCGTGCTGCTGCGTGGCTCTGCAGGCGCGCAAACTGCGCATGCCCCAAAGGACGCCATATGGCATCCACCCGGAACACTGTGTGATTTTTCCGGTCGTCACAGCTGGTCACCACAGTCCGTCTCCACTCTTCATTGAAAATAGGAAAACATATCTTCTGTCCTCCAATACGCTCTTCTTGCAGTATTTTTAATAATCAATGAATTGGCTGCAATGATGTCTCCACCCAAAAACCAACCTTCCTTGATGTGTTTCACCACTGCTGGCTTGCTCACAAGGAGAAGGGTCTTCTATTCTTGTGAGCAAACCAAGAGTGGTGAAACACATCAAGAAAAGCTGATTTGGAGTTGAAGACATCATTATATGCAGTCAATTCACCGATTATTAAAAATATTACAAGAAGAGCTGATTGGAGTGCAGTTGATATTTTTCCCCATTTTATCTTATCTAAAAAAAATAATAAATTAATTAATAAAAGTACATGTTGTAAAGGAATATTGTGTCGTGACCCCTGGTTATCATCTATTTTCTCTTTATACAATTCACAAATGATCATTGGATGCAGGGACCTGCTCTCTTTATTGGGAATTGGATTCCTTTATTTATAAAATGTAAGGGCTCTTGGTTCCACAGATTTTATTATTTATTTATCTACCCAGAGGCCACTTTATTGTATAATTTGGGATATGAATAATTTATACTCATTACATAAAGAGGAACTACAATCACACCATAATGAGTCTAATCCATCAGCAGAGAAATATTCACAATATGATAATAGAGAAAAAGCTGAATATGTTCCAATTGTCATAATTACAACAAAAAAATAACAGTTTCACACTACTGATATACGCTTGACTAGGCTGGCAGCCAAAATGTCCTGCTAATTGTTACAATTAAATCCATAAATGCAGTTCATAACTGCTATGATTTCTACTGGGCTGAAGCCAGAAATGAGACATTTTCAGCTTTAGTTTCTTTAGCTGATTATTGATAAAGGTGTCAGATAGAAAATAAATAGGAAAGTGTACCTGTCGAAAAAAGAGACGGCCTATAGATTTGAATGAACTGAGATGGCGCTGACAAACACACTCCTAGTTCATTCACAACCCCTGCAGCTTTCAAACTGACAACCAAAACAGAAGTACGGAGTGAAAGCTGTAGGGCTTGTCTGCAGGAGCCTGACATTGCACCTGTGATCCACTGATCATGGATGCAATGCTTAGCAGGCTCCTGCAGGAAAAAAAAAACACATGCACATTTCCTGTAAAAAATATATGCATATGTTATTTTTTTTCCTGTAGCACCACCTTCTTGAGGGCAGCTGGACTTGTTTTGGGTCCTCCTAAGCTCTGCACGGCCAGGCAACATGTTTTTTCCACATTTGCACATTCAAAGTCAGTAATATAGTCCTTGAGCTGGGTTTTAGTTGTTTTTATTAGGGGCTAACAACTTGTATAGGGTCTAGGGGTATATGGGATGCCCAAGGAACGGTAAACTTGAAGACAGACGTCTTAGCAACAATACTGTAAAAGAAAGAGTGGATCAAAAATAGTAACTGTTTCTGTTAAGGAGCATTGAAGTCCCCTTGGTGTACTTCCTCAGTACCCAGATGAATCCTCCTCTTCATCCAGCTGAACTAAGGGTATCCTTGGGCAAGAGATTCCAAGATATAATGATAAAGTAGTCCCGAATGAGAGCTGGTTGGGTCTTGCACCTGACCTTTCTCTGCATTTATCTGGCCCAGGGGGTGTAGAAGTACTCATACTGTCCTGTCCTGTTAGCATGGTGAGTTGAAGCTGCTTTCAGGCCTTTCACTGAGCTGGCCCCTTCCTGGCTGACAGGTTGTCCTCCCTAGGAGGTGGTGGGACAGTGGAGATCCTTCTGTCCAGAAACAAGCCTATGTGGGGACACGCCATTGTTCCTGGACGCCTCCCATTTGAGCACAGACTGGCCAGGCTGCATTCCACCCTCTGAGACAGATGCTGCTGGCACACCTGAGACCTGCTCCGTTCCACATTGCTGTTAAAACCTGTGAGTGTTCCCAGTTGGGTGCCTTCTTGCTGGGCTGTTTGTACAGTTGAACCGTGCCTTCAATAGAAGTTCTGTTTACTGCAACCGGACTCTGTGTAATCACTGCCACTACAACACTCTGCACCTGCCCACAAGTAAGTCTCCACTGATGAAGGAGGCTCATTGAAACTCAATTGGTGAGATCCCTGTGCTTCGTTCTCAGGTTTGCACACCTACTGTGGCCATTATAACGGGTTCTCACTCTCCCTACTGTATTGTTTCCTTATTTTATTTTATAGGGAACATAACAGAAGTAACAAAAACACAAAGGTGGATGGAAACACCCAAAACTTCAAGGTAGATAGGAAGAAAGAACATGGAGTGGGAAAATGGCCTGACTCAGCTCTACCTATGACTAAAATTCAATTTGGGGGGCTGTCTTTATAAGTAATGTGTCATGTATAAGAAGGTTGTTAGACACATAGGTACACCTCTATAGGCTTCAGGGGGGAACTGCATGCTAGCTGACTGTAATATCCACTCGTTTGAGTTAACGCCATCTCATGGCTGAAGGCCAAAGGGCTTCACCAAGTTTCACACACAGAAGGTTCAGTTCTTATCACTTGTCAGTGACACTGATTACAGAGGGAGATGGCACACTGACCAGCTATCCACAGCACACTTTACTTTACTCCTACCCATCCTTAAAGGCAAAGAGTGGAGCCTCCGCACTTAATTCACAAGGTCCTGTAGTCACATAGTTCCAGGTCCAGTCTCTAGGAGAATTCCATTCGACTGCAGGCCTTGCCATCAAGTAGAGTGCTCAGTGCCAGACCACGTCTACCTACAGAACCTCTGCCACAGGCCTCCACCTCCCAACACCCAAGTTGGTTGCTTCTCCTCTTTGACATTTTCATTTTTATAATCTGAAGGGTTAACTGTAATATACAATTTTGGTGGTATTTAATCACCACTGTTTTTTTTTTTCCATGCTATAAATGAAAAAAGACAGCAAAAAAAAAATCAGTTTACTTTGTTTCTGTTATATAATTGTGCAAATAAATAATCTTTCTACACAAATTTAGGTCAAAACGTATTCTGCTAAATTTCTTTAGTGAAAATAACCCAAATCAGTGTTTATTATTTAGCTGATAGGAAAGTTATAGAGTCCACAATCTATGGTATATATCTAAAAATCAATAAATCCTGATGTACTGATGGCCTATCTTATCTCTTGAGGCCCAAAAAATCCAGGACAGTACAAATACCCTCCAAATGACCTCTTTTCGGAAAGTAGACAGTCTGAGGTATTTAGTAAGAGGCATGGCAAGTTTTTTGAAGTTGTAATTTTTTGTATTAATTTTGTGGAAAATTAAGAAATTTTTATTTGTTTTTACATACTGTCTCCAACGCAGTACAGCGTCATCATATAACTGGTATGGTGGTGATCAGGGATACTGACTCCTGACAGTATGTTAAAAAATAACTAAATAAATAAATAAAAATAATTTTTAACCACTAGCCTACAGGGCACTTATACCCCCTTCCTGCCCAGGCCAATTTCCAGCTTTCAGTGCTGTCGCACTTTGAATGACAATTGCGCAGTCATGCAACACTGTACCAATATGACATTTTTATCATTTTTTTTGAGACAGATAGAGATTTCTTTTGGTGGTATTTAATCACCTCTGGGATTTTTATTTTTTGCTAAACAAACCAAAAACCTCTGAAAATTTTGAAAAAAAAAGATTTTTTTCTTCGTTTTTTGTTTTTAAAATTTTGTAAATAAGTGATTTTTCTCCTTCACTGATATGCATTAATGAGGCTGCAGTGATGGGCACTGATAGGTGGCACTGATGGGCACTAATAGGTGGCACTGATGGGCACTGATGAGGAGGCACTGGTAGGTGGCACTGATGGGCATTGACAGGCATTACTGATGGGCACTGAAAGGCAGCACTCCTATATGGCACTGACTGGCACTGTTAGGTGGCACTGATAGGTAGCACTGACGGGCACTGATAGGCGGCACTGATGCACACTGATAGTCGGCACTGACTGGCACTGATTGGCAGCACTGACTGGCACTGATAGGTGGCTCTGATTGACAGCACTGATAGGTGGCACTGACTGGCATTGATAGGTGGCACTGACTGGCACTGATAGGTGACACTAAAAGGCAGATCAGAGGAGCACTGATATGTGGCATTGATGTGCACTGGTAGGCCCTGATATGTGACATTGATGTGGCACTGATGCGCACTGGCAGGTGGCACTGATGAGCACTGACAACTGGCACTGATGGACACTGACAGGTGGCACTGCTGGGGCTACACTGATCATCAGGGCACACTGATCATCAGTGCCCTGATGATCAGTGTACATGTCCCCTCCGAGGAATGCCAATTACTGGCTCTCTTCTCCTCTCGAGCTGTCAGCGGGACAGCTTGTGAGGAAAGAAATGCTGATAACCGGCATTTCCCTATTTACATGAGATCAGCTGTGATTGGACACAGCTGATCACATGACCGAGACAAAATCTTAGGTTCTTTCCGTTGATCGGTGATATGACGTCCTCCCAGAACGAGAGAACCACCTTGCGCCCGTCATTGCCTTATATGGCGGGAGGGAGGTGGTTAAAAATGTTTTATTATATATATATTCTTTATTATTTGTTTTTCTACTGTGACCAGAGCAATACAATGTTACCATAGTAACACTGTACTACTCTAGGCAAGTGATCAGGATTTCTTTTTTTACACATAATGGTTGCTTATTTAACCTAACAAGCTACGTAACTATGTCACCGTGTATGATGCTAACTGTCAAATGGCAGTGAAGCCATCCTAACATAAATACGTATACAATAGTGAAGCTGCTCTATACATATAATAAAATGTTCTAATATGAATAAAACTGCAACATCAAAATAAATCATTAATCATTAATACAGTATATATATATATATATATATATATATATATATATATATATATATATATATATATATATATCACAAGTGCATCAAAAATACCATTTAATACCAAATCTTGTGATAAAGTCCCATGCACAGTCTGATTTCATTGTTAAACCAATCTAAAGCAGAAATTATGGAAAGGGCATCAACATAAAGGGGTTGAATTTATTAAAGCTGGAGAGTGCAAAATTCACTGCATGGTAACCAATCAGCTTCTAACTTCAGCTTGTTTAATTAAGCTTTAACAATAAAAACTGGAAGCAGATAGAGAGATTTGTACCTTACATTTGGTGGGATTTTTAATGCAACCTTAGAATATTATTTATTTATTACAGGTACTTATATAATGTCATCAGTTTACGCAGTGCTTTTTTACATATATATTGCACATTCCCATCAGTCCCTAACCCTCAAGGGGTGTACAATCTAAGGTCCCTAACTTACATTCATACATACACATACTAGGGCCAATTTAGACAGGAGCCATTAACCTCCCTGGCTGTATGATTATTTCAGATTTTTGGTGCTGAAAGCGGTACCATTATTTTGCATGGAAATATGTAGTTTTTTTATTGTAAGCTGTAATTTTTAGGAATAACTCACTGAAATCTGTCCGAACAAGAGTCTAGTAAACATCCCGGGTATGATAAAATTTGAAACACAAAATCATAAATTATAATTTAATAAATAATAAATAAAAAATAATAATATAATAATAATACATTTAATTCAATAATATAATCAAACCAAAAACACTGAAATTTGAAATATAGCGCCAAGTTCGCACATCACTGAGCAAAGTTGCAAAATTGTTTTCAGTGTCTGATGAGGAATTTCCCCATGAATCATTATCACTCAATTCTGCAAGTGGTTCTGATTTACTATCGCTGTTCTCTAGCTGGTCTAAAACCGATTTTGACATAAAGGGACACTTTTTGAATGCCATGGACTTTTCTAAGTTTCCAGGCAGAAAGAACAGACAAAATGCAGACAGGGGACAGGACAAAGCACTCGGGACAAAATGTATGTGAAATGGTTTGAAACAGCAATGTTTTACTATGTAAAATTCGTTTTGAAAAAAATGAAATTTTTTTAAATTTTCAAATATCCCGCCGCCCCGTTGGCGGCGCCCGTACGTCCCGACGTCACAGGGACCGGAACACAGAAGCCGGATGCCGGCATCAGCCGGAGGAGATGGCCAGGGACGCTGCAGGGACACATCACGGGAGCGAAGGACAAGGTAAGCTCTGCAGGGACTCCCTATGCAGCGCCGCATGGTAAGCCCGAGTGTAGCTCGGGGTTACCGCTTTTGGTACAGAAACTTTACCCCGAGCTACACTCGGGAATACCGCCAAGGAGGTTAACCTACCAGCATGTCTTTGGAGTGTGGGAGGAAACCAGAGTACCTGGAAGAAACCCATGCAGGCACAGGGAGAACAACCAAACTCTAGACAGGTGGTACCGTGGCTGGGATTTGAACCAAAAACCCTAGTGCTGCCAGGCAGAAGTGCTAACCATTTAGCCAATGGTTCTAATTGGTTAGAATATATAAACCAAACAATTTTTTTAAAAGAAGATTTGACATTTTATTTGACACATCAATATGAAAATCAGCTTCAAGAGATACTGCTAATTTTCCAGTGCAACAATTACTAATATCATCAAGCAAATATGTTGTCAAGAATTGTTATATTCTATTGGGGAAATATGTATTGATGTGTCAAATAAAATGTCAAATCTTCTTTTAGAAAAAATTGTTTGGTTTATATATTCTAAGGTTGCCTTAAAAATCCCTCCAAATGTAAGGTACAAATCTCTCTGTTAGAAAAATAGGGATGATGGTAACCACACCCTAGGATGACTCTTTTACCTTGAAGCTGATTGGTCTTTATGCAGATCTGCACCAGATTTTGCACTCTCCAGTTTTAGGAAATCAACCTCAAAGTGTCCAATCCAGTAATTAAGTCCCAGATTCACTCAATGAATAGTGAGCATCAAAATCCAAATCTTCTCAATTTTCACGACCTCTGCCAAAAATCAAAACTACTAGCGTGCCCACCACCAGAAACCCCTATGAGTGTCTTCTCACCTGATGACGCGGACCCAAAAATTGAGGTCATCGGCGCTTCGGTTACATAATGTCAGCTACCCACCTAGTCCTTTAAACACATCCTGCAATCTTCAGTGGGTATTCACATATTAAAGCACAAAAATACACTCATATTAATAATAATGTAGACTGCTAGAAGGTATTTATTTTTAAATAATAAAGAATGCAACTCACAAAAGGAATAAATAAAAGCACATGTAGGGAAAAAGGTATGCATTCAAATACAAACTTCAACAAAATGGCGTCCTCACACCTCGCCCAGCGTGATGATATCCCCGTCACTGACGCGTTGTGCCTATCCAGTCTTTGCCTGGTTCCCCGTTAATAGCTATCCATGCAGCCCAGGGGCGGACTGACAACTCATGGGGCCCCAGGGCAATAGGGGATCATGGGGCCCCTGTGTCCTTGCCCAAACTCAAAAAAGCCTATAAAAAAGGTACCAGGGGTATCTCTTGGGGCCCCATACTGACCGCAGGCCCTCGGGCAGTGCCCGAGTTTCCAAATGGTCAGTCCGCCCCTGATTAAGCCTGAGAGGCCAGGAAAGGGGGGGGGACGAGCAAGCCCCCCTCCTGAACCATACCAGGCCACATGCCCTCAACATGGGGGGGTGATTTTGGGGAGGGGGCAATTCACCCCCAAAGCACCTTGTCCCCATGTTGATGATGACAAGGGCCTCTTCCCACAATCCTGGGAGGTGTTTGTGGGGGTCTGCTGGTGTGGGGCTTATCAGAATTTGGAAGCCCCCATTAACAAAGGGGCCCCCAGATCCCCCCCCCATGTGAATAACTATTGGGTGCATAGTAGCCCTACTTATTTACCAAAAAAGTGCAAAGTAAATAAGGTCACACAGTCAGTTTTTGACAAATCCTCCACCCCCCCCCCCCCCAAAAAAAAAATGCCTTCCGAAGAAGATCCAAAGTCAATCACGATGAACGCTGGCCAGCAACTCAAATTAAAAGAAAAAAACCTGACCTACACTGGGAATGTCCGTTTACATGAAACGTACATGGGGCGGAGCCTGTGCTGATGTCATCGCGCATACTGGAGTCGGAACCAACGGTGCTGCATACTGTTTTGACCCACTTGTTATACTTCTAAGGTTGTAGAGTAGTCTTGCAGCATTTTTATTATTAAACTATGCAGTTTTATACTGTTGGAGGCTGTCTTCTGAATCTTTTGCTGGATTCTCATTGGAGCCGAAGAGTGTATACAGCTGAGTGTCCTATTGGTGTGCCCTGTGGTTCTCTATGGTTGGATGATCCATTACTGCAAGATCTACACACCTCTGAGCTTTCACAGATCACCTATAATTTGGGGTCTTCTGATCTGGCAAGAGGCTGTCTGTGACTTGGTGGGATTCACTGGTGGCACTCCAAACAAGATCATGGAACTGATAGGATTGTTTTATTTGTATTTTAACACATGGTAGCAATGGACTATTTTAATTCTGTTTTCAGAAGTGGTGCTGATTCAGTTGTATTGGTATATTTATGTGTTTGAGATCACTTTCATATTTAGGATTATTTAATGGCGCAGCACAACAATATTGCCATATATGTATTTCTACACTTATATTTTTTGTGTTTTTTGAGTGCGGCTTTAAAACTTTAGGTGATTGGTTTTGGCAGTAAGCGCAGTTTTTTCTTGTTGCATATATCTTGGACTACTTTCTGACAACTTTTGAATGTTCTTTGAATTTTCAATTTTTGTACAATTTTTCTTTTAACATTCTACTGGTGTATACCCACCTTTAAAGCGGCGAACCTATCCATCACAGAAACCCCCCTTTACATCAGTGTCCTCAGCCCCCCCTTCACATCAGACCCCCCCTTTACATCAGTGCCCTAAGCCTCTTCCCCTTTACATCACAGACCCACTTCAAATCACACACCCTTTGCATTCCAGCCCACCTTCCCATTCCAGCCCCCACAATCACAGTCATCCCTTTATATGACATTCCCCCCTTTACATGACAGTGCTCCTTCACATTACAGCCCCCCCCCAGGGGTGGACTGACAACTCATGGGGCCCCTGGGCAATAGGGGATCATGGGGCCCCTGTGTCCTTGCCCAAACTCATAAAAGCCTATGAAAAA